GAGAATCTTCACTCAAAGGGTCTGCGTACAGGCCATTGAATTTTCTTATGTTTTCCAGCTTCATTCTTGAAAGTTGTACCAAAGAGAAGAATTGACTATTTCATTTTTTTTCAGGTAGTCGAAGTTCTCCATCCTGGACGAGCCACTGTTCCCTAAAACCGATATTAGAGAGAAGATTGCGAAGATGTACAAGACCACACCTGATGTTGTTATTCCGTTTGGCTTCCAATCTGCTATCGGAGGTGGAAAGACTAAGGGATTTGCTCTTGTCTATGACACTCTAGACTACGCCAAGAAGTTCGAGCCTAAACACCGCCTTATCCGCGTGAGTTTTTTCTTCAAATTCTCTAAATTCAAATACATTGTCGTTTGCCATTGTTTTTTCGCTAACTGGTTTCTGGTAGATGTATAGTAACACTAGTTGTTGGGTTGGGTGTTACGAAACTTGGTGTAGGGTAGCCGTAACGTGGGATAGGAATAGGTTTGACATAGACGAGGGGGTTGCATAAGTGTATGGGATCGAGCCGTTGATGAATGAATCACCTATTTTTAATGCTGTTTTGTTATGATAACTGCTGTTTAACGCCGCAGTACGCGTTCCGAATGTTATCACAAGAATGCTGAGTTGTGGGCAAAAGTCGTGCCCCAGGCGGGAGTCGAACCCGCACCTCACGCTTTCCGGGCGAGTGCGCTATCCGTTACGCCACCGTCACCAAGTTAAACGTGTGAGTGCTGTAAGGTTACGGCATAAGCCGTTAAGCTGAGAGGGTAAAAGCGGCCCTGGTGGCGTAACGGATAGCGCACCCGGAAAGCGTGAGGTGCGGGTTCGACTCCCGCCTGGGGCACGACTTTTGCCCATAACTCAGCATTCTTGTGATAACTAGTTTTTAATTACTAACTCTGCCGTATCGGAATGCTTGATGGGCTTCGAGAAGTAGAAAGCATCGTATACTTAGGGAGAAGCCCGCCCGCCAGTCTCCAGCTCCAACCCCATAAACCGAAGTATGTGTATATGTAGCGCTTTTGTTCCACTTGCCGTTTTTTGCCGAGTAGAATTAAGGGGTTGAGATTTTCCGCGCCCTCATCAGTACAAGTGTACATGTAACTGTAGCGCTCATAGTGCGATGACTATCTGAGTAGAAAGAAACGATGGCAGTCTCTTCGCGATCTCCAGAAAATCGTGTTGTTTTTCGTTCAGTTACTTGTGTAGACCGAAAGAAATGGCATTCCGATGAAAACAATACTGGTCTATGAGGTACGCGTGAAACAGATTTCTGCCAAGTTCCATCAGCATTTGACGGGGCCCAAAGAAAGGCGTGGTTCAGCGTTATCTTGGTGGAATGCACAGTATCGTTCCCTTCTAAGCGATTCTAATCCATTGCTTTCTTCAAATGGCCCCGTTGAATGCAATATATTTTACAACCGACTGCTTGGTTATGCCGCAGCGGCGCAGAATGAAGAGTACTCTCCCATTAAGGCTAACAATAAAGTACACTTGGCATATGTGAACATTTCTTTTTGGGATAGATCTAGTCGCCTTACTGGGATTGCCAAACAGTCATTTTTGCTGTGTTGCAAGAGACAGTCCACTTCTCATCCTTCGTCATCAAACACCTCAGAGAGGATCAAACACTTTAGAGAGGGTGGATACATTGGGTTGAAGCTTCAAAAGACGACGAAAATGCTATCCAAATAGCTGAGCTCGCTTAGTTAGTGGGGCACCGAACCAGACATCAAGGCGCCTATTCAAGTTAGGCCACATCAAATGGTCAGGTAGGGTTTGATTCGGCACTATGAGATTCCCTCGTTAAACGCCACATGTCTTTCGGAACACGAGCACTTTGTCGCTTTTTAAACAAAAGACCCACTATTGTACGTTGTCTATGGTGGCATTCATTCCCAGATCTATACTCGCTAAATGACTCTCCACGGATGAAAAATACAAAAAAATATTTTGAACTACACCGTAACTCCCAGCAGTCTCATTGTACGAGTTCTGCTCGTTTCTTGCCAGCGAATGGGTATCTTGACCGCCTCTGGCTCACTTATCGTTTATTCGAGTCAGCTACTGCCAATACAACTCAACACTGAAAAGAGACTGAAAACGAATTGCCTTTGAGCTTCAGTGGGCGAGGCAACTAGGGAGGCGTTAGAACTGCCAGTTATCAGGCCGCAGCGTCTTTACTTGCTGTAGAGCCCCGAAAGCGGGATAATCTTGGAGACTGAAGACCAGGCTACTTTATTATATAAGATAGGACGCCTACGAATCACTTGAGTCCGCGAGCTGTCTTTAGGCAAGAAAGTCTACTGCCGAAAAGGCCCATGTTGGTCCTCGAATTTTACTTAAAACAGCTCCCACGATAAAAGTGTCATGGATAGTTGCTTTTCAATTAATGAATGATAACAGCTAGCCATAAATAGCGATTCGCGAGAGAAGAAAAAAAGCGAAGATTCTCAATAACGGCAATTAACAAGTTGCTCCTGGCCCTCATCAAATTCCCGTATTCAGCAGTCCCCATGTGTATCATTCCAGTGTGCCAATGAAAAGAATACGAAAAAATAACAAAAACACGGAAGAAAAACTCTTGAAAAGGAAAAGAAACTTTCAAAAACTAGGCGTCTGAATTTAGGGTTACGGTAGCGTGCATCTTTTAGTGTAGTGTGTGCGTCGAGCTTTTGCACCACGAAAATTGGGTCGCTCGTGATTTTTACGCGTTTTACCTTGCAAGATGGGTTGGAGTTGACTGTATGTGCTCCTAATAAATAAAATGTAATAAAGGAGAGCAGAATCATTCATGGGCACGAGCGCGGTCAGCAAAAAGGACATGCAATTCCGATTAATGCCCGCCGCCCCAACAAAGAACAACTGAGCGGCCCTCCGTCAGAGGGCATCTAGCAAGTGGGCGGTCCAACTGGGCGGGCGTTAGAACTAGAACTTTCAGCGGCTGTAGCTCGCTCCTCGCTCGCTGTGGAGTCGCGAGAGTGGGACAGTCTCTAGCTTGGGGGCTGTACTACTTGCACAAGGACGACCATGTACTACTTGAGCGCGGGGGCTGTCTTCAATTCCTAAGCAAGCAAAATGTAAGTATGCTGACCGAGACGGGACTATATATGCTAGATTCTGGGCCGCTCTGAAGATATATGACATGATAAGGTATCACACAATTGTTCTATTCGAAACGTCCAAAATAGGCGAGGACTTTCCAGATAACTCACGGCTCTGTCTGATGTTGAACGATTCTCAGTGCTTTTGGCCATTGGTTCCAGAGGCTGCGTTCATACTTTGCGACTCGGCATTTTGTCTATCTGTCGGTGCCCATAGCGCCTATTTGCTCAGAATGCTGATTTTCCTAACCGCCGAAGCGCAACCTATGAAAGCAGTCTGGAAGCGCTTCTGCAACCAAGTCCTGATGGTTGCAGAAGCGCTTCCAGACTGTTGCCTTTGTTACTGCAGAACTAGGTGGACGATTTCCGGCTGCACAACAGCAATTATTGTGTATCAAAGTAGTATCTGATCGAGATCGTTCTGCGCACTCCATGCTTATCTCAATATTTCAGATGGGACTTGCACAAAAGGTTGACAAGGGCGGCCGCAAACAACGTAAGGAACGACGAAACCGGCAAAAGAAGGTGCGCGGTGTCAAGAAGGCCACAGTTACGGCTGGAAAGAAGTAAATCGACATGGGTCGTTGTTGATTTGTTTTGTTATGGTAACGTTGATAAAAACGTTGAAACCTGTGTGGCGTTGTAATATTCCGCGATGTCTAGAGTTTTCCCTCTAATGTACTTTGTAAATCAAAAGAGTTACAACTATTACGTCTATAAATTTCAATCCTCTTTTGGTTTTTCAACGTCCTATGTCATCCAACGTCGGCTTACAACTCGATGAAATAGCAAAATGTAAGCGTTCTACGTTCAATTTTGCTTCAGTTACATCTGCATGGCAATGGTAGAGATCGTAGAATATGCTATTTCGTCCACTTTGTAGGG